GATCTATATGGAGCAACCTAAACGTTTTGTAGCCTCTGGCCTTGAGAGCAAAGTATGCACGCTCAAGAAGTCCATATATGGTCTCAAACAGTCATCAAGACAGTGGTATATCAAATTTCATATCGCTATAATGACTTATGGTTTTGACATATTTCAATAAGACCATTGTATATACATTAAGAAGTATAAGAAAAACATTTAGTTGTCTTTATATGTTGATGATATTTTATTAGCTGGGAATGATTTTGATGCCACGAATGAGTGGTTGTCCTCCAAATTTGAGATGAAGGATATGGGTGAGGCGAATTACATACTCGGTGTTAAGATACATCGAAATAGCTCTCAAAGGTTTATTACTATGTCACAAGAAACATATATCCAAATGATTCTTAAGCAATTATGTACGCAAGACTCGAAACCCACAGATACCAGTTGAGAAATAACATATTATAAGTCTTGACATGTGTCCGCAGATAGAAGCTGAGAGAAACAAAATATCTCGTGTTCCATATACAAGTGCAATTGGTAATTTGATGTACGCGATGCTCTGCACGCCTCCAGATATTGCCTATGCAGTGGGTCTCGTTAGCCAATACTAAAGTAATCCAAGACAAGATCATTGGCAAGCAGTGAAGAGGATTTTTTGATACCTTCGAAGAACCTCAAGTCAAATGCTATGTTTCTAAATAACTGATTTGTGGTTTCGAGGATACAGTGATGCTGATTGGGCAGCAGACCTAGATGAGCGTAAATCGACTTCAGGTTATGTCTTCTTGCTAGGAGGCGGTACGGTCTCATGGTGTAGCAAGAAGCAGTCACGTGTCGCTCTCTCCACTATTGAGTCTGAATACATTGCTTGTAGTGGAGCAGTACAAGAAGGCGTATGGTTGAGAAGATTATTAAAGAACTTGGGTGTTGTCGCGACTGATAATGAGTCTGTCACTGTATTTTGTGATAATACAATGATACTTGTTTTTACAAAAGACCCAAAGCACTATGGAAAGTCAAAACATATTAAAGCTATATATCACTATATTTGAGACATTATTGCACACAAACGGGTGATATTAACTCATATTCCTAGAACTGAAATGGTGGCGGATTCCTTGACTAAGGCAATTGTCAGGGCTGCACATCAAACTCATGTAAGAACTATGAGCCTCAGGATCCTATGAGTTTAGAGGATCTCGGTATACTATTATAAAAAATATGGATGTTATTTTGTGTTATGATGGATTGTTTGTGCACATTAATTCAAACACAACAGATATTATCATTTAATTCATCGGCAGGCTAAAGCTCATTACTCGTATGAGCTACGCTCAATATCTGAGATATACACATGGTGCATTTATCGCTTCGACCAAGGGTTCGAGCTGAGATTCCATAAGGGAATTGACATGATCTATTTAAATTGACGTCCCGAATATCATGTGGCCTGCAAGTAGTCAGGGATGAACGTCAGGGATGTTCAGGTTGACGCATGGATGTGATTGTGGAGTGCTAGATGGTGGCCGTTTGCATGCCTATGAAAAGACTATAACCTGCATGGTGTGGATTATGACGCACATTTAATGTGATCTACCATGACGTGTGATTCATACCATACATGTTATATTAGTGACCAAACACCAACTTGTGTGGAAAAAGATGATCATGTTTCTTTTTGCTATTGTGCGAGGCTAATAAGTAGGTGACCCATGATGCCCTTGTAAACCTTAGACTGAATTAGAAAACTTTACTTTGATCATTCACTTTAGCATGTACTCCTTAGGTTCAAGTATGAGACTCGTCTGAAACATTGCTAAGACAATGGCGGGGTCAGAGTAGAATAATATATGTTGTAAGGGAAGACCATTTGTTATCACACTCTGTTTTGGTACCACAAGAAAACAATACACGTTACGTGTGTATTGAAAGTAATTATGTACGAATGAGCCAAGTAATCTTCTGAGTTGGGCTCACGAGGGATTCGTTGAGAACTTAGCCTGGTGTAATCAAATCGGGCCTAGGGCAAGTTGAGCAGTTTTTTGTTTTGCAGGTATTGGGGAGATGAGGTGTTTCATGCCAGTTGGTTGGAAATTTTGTATGGTTCTCTCTAACAGAATGTTCGTTCTTGTAGGTCGTACACCGCATTTTCCCTTTATAAAAAAGAATACTCACGATGCGATAATGAACGACAACTCTTATTTGAGCATGTAACCCCTCCCACATACAGGACGAGTGGGAGATGTAGACATGAGGGTGCATCCCTAGTGTGAGGGAACACCCAAGTGGACCGCACTACCTTTATGTTTGACTTATGTTACAACATGAAGGGAGATGGGGAGAGGTTGCACCTCTTCATGAGGGGGTGACCCTCTCATGAATGGCATGCACCATGCACTATAAGGGTGCCTATTCATGAGGAGGTTACTCCCTCATAAATGAGAGGGTCATTTATCTTATTATAAAAGGGAGAGGGAGGGAGGTCTTTATAGACACCACAACACACACACGAGAAAGGTGTGAGACCTCCTATTTTGAGAGAGAAAGTATGAGAGAGAGTGAGTAAAATCCCTCTCCCATTCGAGTTCTAATGAAAGAACCAATCCTAAGAGATAGAGTTGTGTATGAGAGTCGACCTAGAACTACTTCTATGGCATTTTGTGAGTGTTCGTGAGCTTCCACCCGATCAGGATCAACGATGTCGAATAGATTTCGATAGCTCCAGTAGTTGTCAAACATGCCTACAAGAGTTGATCAATCCTCTCCACAAACGTTTTATCAAAATTGGTGTGCGAGCACTCAGGTAAGATACCCGGTTCCCAATTATTTTATTTTGCTTCCGCTTCGGTCATTGGACCGTATTTTTTCCAACAGCTTGTTTTACAATTTAATTTGTTGATTTGAATAATGGGCAAACATAAGTAACAAAGCCTCTAGAGCAACACTTTGGTTCCTTTTCAACCATATAATGCTCTAAAAAATCATCATCGTCATCGTCTCGGAGCTTTAATAATGTTATAAAAAGTACAAAAAGATGGTCTAAAAAATAAAAATAAAAACAAAATAATTGAAATATTGGAACAAAGTACAAAGGGAGGAAGAACCAAACAAAAAAAAAGTATGCCAATGTTGAAAGCCTTTGCGAATGGTGGAAGGGCATCCAACCCCACTCCCATTCCAAAACTTTTCACAATTGATTTGAGGAAAAGGTTTGCGTGAAGCCCTGGTTTTTTTAATTGCAAAAATATACAAATATTTTTTTTATTTTTAATACAAAGTCATAATCACTTTTGTCCATCAAATTTTAACGGACCCGGTTTCTATGTGGCCAAGCCCTCATACGTAGAAATGCGGGCCTCTTAATAAATCTATTTTTGAGATGGATTTTAGTTTTCAATGACATGTAATCTCTAACATGGAAATTGTGAATATAAAAAAGTAAATGAATTTTAAAAACTATAAATATTGATTATAGTAATAAAACACCTACTTGCATCCATATTTAAGATGGATGTTTTACATTTTCTAGACCGCATATATAGAAATGCGATCCACCCCGCATGAAACAATATTTCAATTTTAAATTATGTAATTATAAATATGTTGTTGACTATATTCAAAGTTCAAAAAAAAAATCGCGTACGTCATGACACATCCTAACCCTTCCAATGTAACATCTAATTACTAAGAGTGATTGTGACCTCCTTAGAACAATGGTAAATGGTCTCATAGTATCATCATTATAGCTCTTTCCCAACTGTTTGGTGTCAGTTATGCAAATCCTGGTCTATCATTCTGTTCTATCAAGGAGTCTCTATATCTTTATCAATGAGCATACCCTAAGTGAGGCTATAAGTCCCCATATCTGTTATCAGTACTTCCAACCATATCCTTTTGTGCATACTCTTTGCTTTTTTTTAGCATTCTACTTAAACCAACTGGCACATCTTAACAGGTGTTGTATTGGGTATACGTTTCAAATGGCTAACCCACTAATATATTAATTTCGAAATCTATTCCTTTTTAAATACATGTCTCAAATCTCGTATGAAATTATTGTTTTGGAACCTAGGGAAGCAACAATTGATAATCTCAAATTTGATACGAGTTGAAAAAAATGAATATTAAGCCTTAAAAATAATGTATTTTATTATGGGACATTCTATTTTTTAAGTGCTTGCAGATATATCGGATCTACATTAATTAATGAGGCTAAAATAGATTTTAAGGCCATCAGATGAATTTCAATATTAGGATTGCATTTTCTTATAGGGTTTGAGTTGCGGTTGTACGTTGAACCTTCATTTGAACCAAGGTTTTAAAAGTTGGTATTTCTTATTCCAATTGTCCATTCAGATTATGTTGACCGACCGAATTCTTGATAGTAATTGGGAATCTGTCTAGTCCATGTTGAATTTGTTGGTTTTGTTAGGGAATCGGTCAGTTCTATCAAAGAGCTTGTTGATCTGGATCGTTCAGTTCTCACATATTCTATTTTTTATATATTTCTTATTTTTTACTGGCCGTTTATAATCAGCCATATCGTCGATCCAGATTGATGATTCATTGATATGTAGCGGTTTCCCGATGGCCGGGAAGATCTTAGTTTTAAAACTATGATATGAACTAATCGCAAATGAGGACAACTTCCAACGGTCCTAGTGGTGTCAGCTGCATCTAACCGTTGCTCCATGTTCGGATGCATGTAATTTGTACATATGCGTATCCTCAATGATAAAAAATTGAAAGCGGATAGAAGAGGGAAGAAATAAGAGGGGAAGAGAATATGAAGTTTGAGTAGGCACATGTATAATAATAAAATAAGAAATTAATAATGATAGAGACGCCGGCAGAAAAGAGAAAGAGCTTTGTCCCTGTGCTGCTGTTTAAACGGCTAATAAAATTTGAAAAAATGGGATCAGGGTTTTGAATTTGAATTTGGGGGACAACCGTTGCCCTCGATCATCGTGCCATCTCTCTCTTTCTCTCTAAAATAGACAGCGGTGGAGATAGATAAACCCCTCCCTCTCCCTCTCCCTCTCCCTCTCCCATGAAGAAACAGTGACACATATCTCACACCTATTGTGCTCTTTGTGGGCGTTAAAAATTGGATTGGGATTTCTTACTCTGCTATTCTCTTCTTTCCCTAAATCGTATTCATTCCTTTTTGAACTTTGGGTATCGGATTGGAGATGGGGAGTTGTGTGAGCAAGAAGATGAAGAACAAGGAGGCGGAGCCTCCTCCTCCTCCTCCATCTTTCCCCTCTGCAAATACGAAGGATGCTTTTAATGGCACCAACATTGAAATGAAAGAGAAAGAGAATGAGAATGCCCCCTCCCAACCACAATCCAGATCCACACTCCAAGGAGACACCAAGTCTGTGGCAAAGCAGGAGGCCAAGGCAGATGCATCTCCCCCACCACCGCCGCAGAAACATGTTGACAGTGGTGGCGACCACGGAGGACGAGGAATGGAAGCAGAAATTAGCAACACTAGTAATAGTAAGAGTGGGAGTAAGAAGAAGAAGAAGGATGATGAGGAGGCTGTAAACAGTAGCAGCGGGGGTGCGGTTAGATCGTCAAGCTGCGCAAAGGAAGAAGTGGATGCCATCCTCATTCAGTGTGGTAGGCTCAGCAGGAGCTCCTCAGGTAAAGACAGCAACCCTCACCGGTACTGTGGCTCCAAGCGCCAGTACGACTACCAACAACAGCAAGATCAAGAAGAACAAGACATCGACATTGTCGGCATTGAAGATGATGAGCAGCAAAGGCATCGCCGCCTCAACTCGAGGCGATCTTCTCCTGCTCCTCCTCATCACAGGAGAACACCGAGCAGAGATAGTGTGCAACACAGGCGCTCAAACAGTGGCGGCTGCAGTGCTGCTGCAGGGAGAAGGTCCAGTCCCTCTCCCAATCCAAGAGGAAGAGCAGGTTCCAACAACAGCAGCAGCAGTGCAGAAGTAGGACCAATGACATCTCATGGTAGCATGAAAAGAGGAGGAGGTGTCATTAAGCGCACCGTCGGGAATCCAAATGAGCTGCTTATGATGACAAGGGGCAGTGGCTCCCCTCGTTCTCGTTCTCCATCTACTCATACTAATAGGGTTGCCTCTGTCACTGCTGTTGATGGTGGTGGCCAACTCAGTCGCAACTCTTCCAAAAGAAGGGAGCATTCACCGTACAGTAGGAGGAATGAAGAGGAGTGCCCTCCCAAAACAGATGCTGCAAAAAACGGCAACAGAATTCGCCACAGAGAAGGAGACGAGAGACTTAAAAGAGCTTCTCAGCATCAGCAATCACAGGTACAAATGCTTATTTTATTTGCCGCTCCAATCGTGTTCTATTTCTATATGTCTTCCAGCTCCTCTGCTTTTATAATCTTCCAAACTGTGCATTTGTGTGATACTCTCCCGCTTGTAATGAACAATGCACTTGAAATATACATCAGAATGCACAGGAAGAAAATCTTTAATTTATTTAATTGATTTCTATTGATGGGTTGCAATTTTTCTTGCTTGAAGATGATAGAGGGAAAAGGAATGGGGTGCAAGCCAAGGTTGGAGGAGAGAGGTAGTAGCAAGGAGATGATGATGGCAGGGAGCCAAAGGAATGAAAGCAACAGAGCCATGAGAGACCAGCTGCTTTCTTGCAGGCTCCCACAACAACAATCCCTTTCAGATACAGCTGCCAAAGAACTACACGGTGAAGAAGCGGTTCCTGCCATGGGTTTTTGCTATGGCAAGATTAATGAACATGGGCTCCTTCCACTACCTGCGCACAATGGAAACAACAACAGCAATGGCAATAAGATGACAAGGAGCAAATCATCACGAAGGTCGTCAAGGGAGCACTTCCCTAATTTGGATCACCTGGGAAGTAATGAAGAAGGAGACTACTCGTTTCCTCTCCCCCCCTCTGTTTCCAAGGCATGCTCCATCCTCGAAGCCGTGGCTGATCTCAACAACTCTTCTAGTCAACAACTCAACTCCTTTGTGGAATCTGAGATGAGCCATGACCTTCTGACAGAGCCCAGCCTCCACAAGTACGTGTCAGTGAGGGAGACCGACCAAGAGTCCGCCGGCAGCAACACCTTCCTCTTCAGTGAACCCACCAACGATCACTTCAAGTGGGGCACTGGAGACGATTACTCTTCTTCTTCCGTCTGCTTCTCATCCCGCTCTCGCACCCACACTCACTCCACAACAGAGGATGATGACGATGACGATGGGGATGAAGAAGCCATCTCGGCAGCAGCAGCTGAGGAGAGAGCAGCAGCATTAATAGGTCTAAGAGGATCGAGCCTTCCCAAAAACCTCTTACCTGTCATCACCCTGAGCAGCAAGTTGAGAGAGCTCAAGAAGGAATATGATGATGGTAGTGACGGCCGCCTCAAAGTCATGCCTCCTGCTCCTACTACCACAATGTTGAGTGCGGCAGCTGTCCACTAGCTCCGTGGAGAACCCACTTTTATGTCAATTTGTAATTTCGAATTTTGATGTCAGGGAACAGATGAGGGACCCCCTTCAAAACCCATTTATAGACACTTAATTGTGTCCATTGCCTCATCCTGCATTGGACTTTCAACTTAACAATCTGGTTACATTTTCGAACACCCCTGCAAGCATATATGTTGCAAAAAGGAGAAAGATGCGATTAATTAATGATTATATGTAATGAGAATTGCTTGCCTTTGTTTTTACCAATGTTTCATTTGTCTTTGATAATAGTTGTGATATATCAGAGGTTGGATTTCTCAAGAGGGATGCATCTGCTGCCAATGAGAAGCAGAATTTTAGTAGAGTGAGGAAGATGATACCCAACATTTTAAGAGGAACATCCTAAATAAGCATTTTTTAAGCATTGAGGGGAAAGATGGAATCCCTCTTCTCTTTAAACACTCATGCCAAGGATTTCATTTAGGTTCAACTTAACCAACCCCCCCTCTCGAGGTTATTCGCATGAGGTGGATCTGCACCCGATCTTCTGGTAATACATAGCATGAAATTTATTGCATCTCTGATACCTGGGCAAGCTAGTGGCTGGTACTTTATTCAACAATAAAAGAAGGCTTAGTAGGACTTTATTCTCCTAGAAACAATGGTCAAGTCCATTGCATATCTAGTAGGGTTCGAACTTGGGAAGAAGTGTAGCCCAAGCCCAGTTCCTTACCCCGTCGTTTTGGAACCCTTTATAAATCAAATCATACCCTCAACTCTTCTCCTCCTTTAAAGTGGTAGTTCACAATCTGTCAATTGGTTCCCTAGTAAGTGTGCGCGTCACAGAATGTAATCATCAAAGAAGATGATTCTTTTCGGCTGCTTCGTGACCTTGGTATATATAGTTTGAGAAAATGATTTCAAGTTCGGGTGAGCTTGGTGCATAATTTTTGCTGGTGCAAATTATTTTTTAGGCATATCTATCCTGCTTCAACAATTCATCACGCTATTGGACTCTTAGGCTAATCGGTTAGAAAGGAGGTTGCAACAGAGCCTGTCATGTTTGATATTTTCAAAATATTGAATGTCATATCCCTTTCAATATGCTATTTCTAAAACAACTACTAGTCACAAAAGGAAAATAACTCTGTGTTGCCTAGAAACGTTCTTATACTGCCGGAGACTGAAACAAGCTCCAGAATCAGTTCTGTTCACTGTAAAAACATTCTCATCCAACAAGTATTTTGGTTTGGAGCTCCAAGAATACCCCAAATCTACAATCACCTCAGGGCAGGATCTAAACTTACCCATTGGGATGGAAAGCAAACGTGTAATGGATTTGGGTCCAAAACAAAACTGAACTTTTTTGAGACCGCATCCTAGAAAAAAATTGTGGATGATGTTAGATATTGGTTTTTGGCAACACAAAAAACTTATCCAATGACAAATTGCGCAACTGATATGCTTATTATGAACTCCACAGAGTGAGATTGTATAAGCTTGTGAGCTTATACTGTAACTTAGCCCATCAGAGTACCAATTACAAGCTAGGGAATTTGTACGACCCCAAATTTTGCACACATTGTTCATCTCATCCTAGTTGATCCATAAATCACCCCACCCCCCCCAAAAAAAAAAAAAATCTAGGAAGTTTCAGATTAAAAGAGAATCAAACTAGCTAAAATGCACTCAAACAATCAACAAAAAAAAAAAAGGGTGCGGTTTGCATAGAGCCTAGGCTCTAAACAATCAAATTAGAGCCTACCTTCAAATAGTGTCAAGAAATATGGTTTCAATATTGGAAATCTTTGTGATAGCCTTAAAATATATTTTCATCTTTGTGACCTCACAGGTATATAGATCATATGTGATCCCACTTCTCAGCCATTCAATCTGAATGGATGGCTAGGATTGCTCATGTCACAATGTCATGCTAAATACTCTTTGTTTTTTAGTTTTTTCTACAAAATATTTTTTTAGTGAAATTTGGGGTGTCTCATCTTCTTTTTGGGAAGCACCTAAAAATAAATATTTCTCATGAAAATAAATGATGAAAATGCCCTTGAAATTTTCAGAGGTATTTTGATAATTTTCCATCGCATAAAATATTATTTATTATTTATTATTTTTATCATGTGCTCCCTTCATGCTCTAAATTTTGTTGCAAAATTATTCATACAGTAAAAACTAAAAATATAATATTATGAGTGATCAAGTCAAGATCTAATGCTCAAGATCCAACTTGTGAGATTGTGAATAAAGCCATTCTAGTCATCGATTCATATCAAACGGCTGAGAGCAAGGGTCTCATATGCTTTATAAGCATGTGAAGCCACATGTAAAACTTTCTTCATGACATGACATCCTGATGTAGGAAAGAGGCTGGGTGGTGGTGGTAATAACCTCGTACCTAGTTACCCATTGTGATTTTCAATCCTGCTGACACCACCCACTTACTCTTCAAAAAAACTCTCTCCCTAATCTATATAAAAAAAAAGGTGCAGGTGCTTGTCTTCTTCTTTTTTTCTTTTTTTTAACCTCCTTGTACAAGATGAAGAGCAGCAACAATACGTTGAACTTGAGTCCCTTGGAAATGGGGGGTTGGATTAAGGGACAAAAGCAATAAGGAATTGATGGATTTAAGGGACAACACTGTGTTGTTGAGACTGGACATTAGTTATAAGTTAGCAAACAAAGGCAATAGGCTGGAATACAAATGCAATGCCTTGTCATAAATAAGTATATCATGTATCCATTAAGACAAAATGGCATCTAGAGTCGAAGTAAGGTTTTGACAGATGTGAATTGGGTCGTCCAAACGTCTCCTTGCTAAAGGGGAGAGGGTTGCATATGTGTCTCTTGTTACTTAACATTTGTTATTATTGTTCAAACTCAAAACTTTAATTTATGGGGGTGGGTCAGCATTCATTGAGATCCATAGTGGTGTACCCCACGTTGCTTCCTCCCATTAAGTAATTAGGCATGATTAATGTGGAGAGAGAGAGAGAGAGGGTCTTTTCCTACCTTTCACTCCAATATTTTTAGAAGCCAAGAAATGTTATCCAACAAGGTTCATGCCTCCTCTTCAAAGCACTCTCGAGAAAAGCATGAAGCGGCCCCATCTTCACCTCTATCGCTGCCGCCTTTTATGAATGAATGGGAATGTATGCTTGTTCACGAGAAGAGATTGTATGCCAATGTACGAGAGGAGAGAGAAAAATACTGTTTTTCACTCATTAAATACCAAATTGGATGACTTGGGCGGCGTTCGATATTTTTTTTTTCTTAAAACTTTGTGTTTATATTCAAAAACACTTTTATAATTTGATAGTTAATAATAATTGTGACTTCCATATACAAAATATAAAATGCTTTTTTCCGTAGACAATCCCCTCATAATGTGCTTTTTTGCCCCTCTATTGTGAGTCAAACATTGGGTTGTCCATACAATTAAGCATTGCTAGTACTCACAAGTCACAACTGGATAGTAAATCATTAGAGTTTACGATCTGGATCTATTACGAGATTGGACGCATAAGATCATTTATATTTGTGTCCTTTGGTATCAAATCTAACATTAGACTTAATTTTAAATCTAACACTCGTAAGTTATTGCTACCTTTATGTTATTGTATAATTTTCCATCGATTATGCACATCAATTTGGAATTCATGGAATAGAAAGAGTTATAATGCAAAACTGGTGTTTAAAAAAAACGAGCGATCTTGTTTGGGAATCGCCAATCCATAGCATGAATCAGTCTAGACCAACATGGTTTTTTGTCAGAACTAGAATCGATACGGTTCCCTTGGACTCGCCTGTTCCGTTAGGGAACTAGGCTATTTTATCGGGGAACCATGCATTCTAAACCGGCACGATCGCCTAGTTCCTACATTTTTTATTTTTGTCTTTTCTTAATATTTTAAATTTTTTATTTGTTTGGACCAGAGACAATCATTCTGAATCACCTGATCCATACTGAAAATTTAGTAAGCCAACTTACTATTGTAGCGAAATAAGAGACGGAGAAAAAAAGCATAAGATGAGCGTTACATCTGGGGGAAGGAAGTGGTTGGAAGGTGGCCTTGCCCACTCCTAATAATCGACAGTGACTCCACAACCGTCAAATGATCCCCCCCCCCTTTCCATGACCTACTCAAATTTGCACCACAATCATTGTGAGAACATTGTATCTTATGTAGTACCCTACCATCAAATGAAAATGGTCATGTGTGCTCTCCACCAAAACCCCGTTCTACATAATTTTTTTATACTTTAGTTGATATATCGATATCCATGTTGTCAATTTATGCAAAGAAAAGCACATGGGATCCTTTTTTATAATTCATTTTTTTGTAGTCACAATCACCACTGTTTAGATTATGGGTTACTATAAATTGGATCCAAATTCCATCTTTAAAATGAATATTAGAGGAGGGAACGCAAATGAATACACAAGTACGCATACCCATAGAAACCCCACACCCTTATTTTATTATTCTTGGGGATTGTTTAGGAGTACCAAGATCATATTAAATCTTCATATTTGAAATGTCCCCCCAATAATTGTTTTTTCTTTTTAAGGCTAGGCCACCTAACGAGAAAAACCGATCTTTTTTGTTTTAGTGTTTAATTGGAGAGCCTAACTTAGGGTGTTTCCTAAATGCGTGACGCAAACACCTAGCCATCCCGTGTGTGACTCAAAGCTGACGCTCTAAACAATCAAATTAAGACGCACCTCAAAAATTCATTATAAGAAGTTGTTTTTAGGTTGAAAAACCTTCAAATCAATCATTTCGACTTCAATATGTATAAACATGAAAAAATATATAAATTTCATGTTTGGAAAATAATGCATATTGTAATGCAGAATCTGAGCCGTTAATTTTTAATATTTTAAAGTGTTTATAGATCTATTCCATCTACGTTATTTGTAAAGTTTCAAATTTTATAATTAGTGTTGAAAATATATTTTTAGGCCATCACAAATATTTTTATTTTTGAAAAATCATATTTTGATACTATTTAGAGGTGCGCTTACTTTAATGGGAAAAGTTTATATAAGTTTGCAACCTTAATATGTAGAATCATAGATGCACCTCAAAAATCTATCGGAAATGTTGTTTTAATGTGAAAAAACACTCTAATTGATCATCTCGATATCTAGATGTATGAATATGAAAAAAAAAAAGTTTTTGAGTCCCATAATAGTACATCTTGCAACACATTATCTAGACTATCAATTTTCAAGATTTTCATATATTTATAGATCTACTTGATTTTAACCATTTTTGAAATTTAAAATTTTCTAATTAGGTATAAAAATATATTTTAAGATAATACTAAAAGTTATTTTACAACAAAATTACATGATAAATTTTTAATGTGCGCCTTAATTGGATTGTTTAAGGTTGCAACATTATAGAAAACCACACCCTACTTTAATATTTCAGGGGCTAACTATATAGACCCCTAGTTGAATTGTTCACGGCCTCAAAGAACCATATAGGCCCTTACTTGAAATCAATGTTTAAAAGATCGGCTGATTAACTTCGGGATCGGCACCGATCTAGCCCGATTCCAAGCAAGTATGCAAGAATTCATTTTCAGTGCACTAATCGGCGGACTAATAAGCCAATTAGTGAACTAATTAATCCATAAAAAATGGTCGTTTTAATGTTGAAAAACCCTCAAATCGAGCAACTCTACATCGAGATGTATGAATATGAAAAAAAGAAACAAAGAAAAAAAAGATTTTGAGTCCCATAAATAATGCATCTTGAAACACATTATCTACACCGTCCATTTTTAAGATTTTTTCCATATTCATACATATTATAGATAAAAAAGTATCAGTTGAGGTGCCTAATAAACAAAAAAAAAAGAAATAAAAAAGTATTAGTAGAGGTGCCTAATAAACAAAAAAAAAAAGAAAAAAAGAAAAAAAGAAAAAGGTAAAAGTATAGATATCAAAATTTTGCGGGAGCCGCATGCGAATTATGGGGGGTAATAATAATAAAAATAAAAGCGGGGGATGAGGGAAACAAATCAAAATGGGTGAAGAGGGAGAGATTTTAAAATCTGGAAAGGGTAAGAAGGCAGGGGGCAGAAAGGGGGAGAGAGGGGTTTGTCATTCTCTAAAAAATTGACTTTTTTGAGGTCCTGGAAATTCCGAAAGGAAGTTGGGAGAGAGAGAGAGAGCTGCATTTGCAGTGTAAAGTGGCGAAGCAAACTCAAATAAATTGAAGAGAATGTTTGTCTGCTCCTCACCCTCTTCTTCTTCTTCTCAGAAGATACAATAAATAAATCCGTCGCCAACAGAAAGGGCTTCTGTTTTATGAGATCCCTAAAAACCCAAGTTTTTGCAGAGAGTGGATCCGCTCTCCATTATTTCCGAAGAAGAAGAGGATGAGCCCATTCCCACTCCCTTATATTTGTTTTGGGCGCCGCATAATCTACAACTGAGCTCTGCCACCAAAATGAAACGCGCTTACAAGCTACGTATCCTTCTTTTATCGAACTCTCTTCCTAAATAGAGCAAATTTGGGAATTTGATTCAGTCTCTTAATATTGAAGAAGCAAATCATTTATCACGCCATTGGGGCCAGGCCACCCATTCGGTCTGATGCTGTAATGCTGGTCTTCTACTCCCCATGGCAACCGTCTCTTGGAACTTTTTCTGCACACACTTTTCTTTTTTTGTTTGGAAGCATATTCTTTTATGTCTATGTAACCTAGATCTTTATCCTCTGTTTGGTTGGTTATTTGGTTGTATATATATGGGATGAGATTTGATTTCATTTTGTCGAGTGAATTTGATTGTCTTGACTGCACAAATTCAGAAGAATTTGTGGCTCATTCGTCCAATGTCAACTGCCTCAAGATTGGGAAGAAATCCTCCAGGGTTCTGGTTACCGGGGGTGAAGATCACAAAGTGAATCTCTGGGCCATTGGAAAACCTAATGCTATACTGGTCAGTTTTTAGATATCTTTTTTTCTTTTGTTTACCCTTTTCTTGTTCAACGATCTCTTAATGGTTTTAACAGTGATTGTCTGCTTTTGATATGTGTATTACAAATGCTTAGTAATCTAGCTATTTTGCACACCTTCTGTTGCTGCTATTTGAATGGAATGGCCATCCCAGTTGATTATTAATATTATTATTATTTTTTTGTTTTGAAGTTAATACTGGTGTTTCCTCTGACATTTTTTTTCTATAATGCATTGTCTATTGAATGGGGTTTGTATTATGTGCAGAGCCTGTCGGGTCATACAAGTGCCGTTGAGTCTGTGAGCTTTGATTCTGCCGAGGTCCTAGTTGCTGCAGGAGCAGCCAGTGGCACAATAAAGCTCTGGGACCTTGAAGAGGCAAAGAGTAGGTGGATTTGACATGATGATACTTCATTGAATTAGTGTGATGCATTTTAACTCTATTTGTTTATGTTTTTTGGTGATTTCTCTTTCCCTGAGTTTTTGTTGAATTTCAGGAAAGATATGCGGTTGATTGGTTATTTCATTTATCTGCAGTTGTCCGTACGCTTACTGGACACAGATCAAATTGCATATCTGTGGATTTCCATCCTTTTGGGGAGTTCTTCGCATCTGGTTCTTTGGATACCAATCTGAAGATTTGGGATATTAGGAGGAAAGGTTGCATTCACACGTATAAAGGCCACACCCGAGGTGTTAATGCAATTAGGTTCACTCCAGATGGTCGTTGGGTTGTCTCTGGTGGTGAAGACAATGTAGTGAAGGTGACCTCATACAAATTATATCTTCTGTTATGGGCATTATTATTATTGAGTTACTCAATGTATTTTGAATGATATGTGCATGCCTTTATTTGTTCATACATTTTATGACCGGTTAATCTTTTGTAAGTTTGACTTTGAGATGGTAGAATAGTACTTTCTTCTTTCTTTTCCTTTTCTGATCACTCTACCATAGGCGAGTTTTCTTTATACTAATCGCCACACTCTCTATTATGACAGCTCTGGGATTTGACTGCTGGAAAGCTTTTGCATGATTTTAAGTGCCACGAGGGCCAGATTCAATGCATAGACTTTCATCCCCACGAGTTTCTTCTTGCAACAGGTTAGAATGCTTCCGTACTTAACCTTTTCTTCTGAAAACCATGACTCTGATATTTTATCTGCTCGTGCCACCATGAACTAATCTTTTACGACGTGTACATTATTCTTATGAATGATATATGGCGTTCTTTTGATGAATGATAACTTAATAATTTAAGGAGTAAGCAACTTAAAGCATGATGTAAAATCGCATTATGTAAACCCTCTTGATTGAGCACTAAGTTGGCTGTGCTATCTGCAAGAGATTACCTGTGCAGGCTCATGACTGACATCAACAACCATTATATTGGACAAAAATCACTGGATTCCTGTGAACAGATAATGCAACCTTCATGACACATTATTTCTTTATCATCCACCTTGTTTGTTTGGCAGAATGACTTGACTATTAGTCTGCCAGTATATTAACTAAATAAGCCTTGACAATGATGCAGAACCTGCCAAAAGTGCCTAAATCTTAGGTTGCTAAAAGTCCTTATAACGTATGCTGATCTCAAATTGCTCATCATTGATAACCTTGCAAATCTGCTTGGTCCCAAGTTTCTTTTGGAGCTCACATTGAATTTGACTGCTTGTGGTCCATAAATAATTTAGGATTCCCAACAAGCCTATTAAAGGAATAGAGTTATTCCTTAATGAAGGAAGTTTTTTTTAATTTTTTTTGTGGTGCTATGGGTGTTTTGGTGCCTTTTGACAAGGGAGCAGGCTTCCAAAAGTCTATATCCAATGAATTTAGTGGCTGACGAAAGCATGCCGTCTTTCACTCCTAAATGCGTGGAGGGAAAAAGTACCTCTATTGCTAAAATTTGGTCTGTCCATATGGGGTCTTACTGTGTAGTGATTAAATAAACGAAATCAAATCAATCCAATTACAAAGCTTTACAGTCTAAGGACTTGAAACTTAGTATTTAACTATGCCAACAATTATATGTAAGAGAGAGATAACTTTGATAGTTTGATGGTAGTTCCTTTGGGAACCTGTCTTGTCTAAGGTGGTGGATTTGTTTGCTAATTGCAAATGATTGTTGCTTATAGCTTTTGTGGGGGCATAGGATAGAAAAAATTCTTTTAAATAACCTCCTGAAGACTGTGATTATACTGAGGTGGAAGGGGCAGTCCCAATGAAGTCGAGAATTGTTTTTTTTTTGAAGTAATGCAAAGCCAAAAATGTTTTCTAGCACCTTTCTGCATGCCTCCAACTACGAGAAAGGGCGGCTGTCTTATGTAATATTCTGGGGGATGATGTTGGCTCCTTTCTCTTTGATGATAGTTTGCAGATTGGAGAGATTTGTGTTGCTTGTTTTGGTCCTTCCTTCATGTCCTCGGGGAGGCGGAGGCCAATGTGGTCTTTGACTCCCTGGGTTAACAGGTGTGATAAGAGAAGAGTTGGTCGTTCAAACTCTATCATGCTCATGCAATTGCCACTTTCTTGGTCAAATGTACCTGTTTGGCTGTATTTTGGATTAGTGCGGTTCGCAAAGGACCTCAAACTGGCATGAAACCAGCTCAAATATATCATAAAGTATCGAACTGGATGCAAGCGACTATTTCCACCCGACTACAGGGACACAAAGCCCATGGAGGGACATCACAGCTCTTCTGCACTCCAAGAAGCCCCAAAAGGCAGAGATTGTTACAAGAGCTCAACTGTGGGTGGTCCACCATCAGCAAAAGCCGGATCACCAATCGGACAACCCTGCAATGTCTGATATAAGTTGGATTGGCAGTCATATGAGAGGACCCTCCGTAGGCTCCTTAAACTGTCTCAGAATGGGACGAAATTTGGAAGTTCTCCAAGATATATAAAAAGAGACCTCTCCACCAAAAATCATGGGTTTTGGACCTTTGGATGATATTGAATTGTTAGGCCCACAGCGGAAATAGGGGCCAGTCAAAACCTTGGTCAAAGGTTCAGAATGGAGTGAAAATTGGTGGAATTTTAATTTATTAGTGTTCCAAACCAACCTTCCCAATTTCAGCTCATTGAGACACCATTTCAGCTCATTTTCAAGTCTCTTGAGTTGAAGGTCACCATTCCAGCCAGTGGTGGCACTATTCATATAGACTGCATCAAAAAAGGGGTCCAATTAACAAAGCAACTCCTGTCAAATGATCTTAGATTGAGATGAAACTTGTGAGCTTTTGACCTAAGCCGTGTCAAGCTCACTCTGCAAATTTGAGATCATTTGAACAATCATTGACCCTATTTTCGAAATGCCAAAGATCAAAAGTACTAGTCTAGCCAATGGTGGAACATAGGGCACCTTATTTTCATGATAACCCATTGACACCTATACCAACATTGAATATTTTCTTCTAAACTATTGGGTATTTTTGAGCTTAAATTTGATATGTATCATCCTCTTTCAATATCCTATCAACTCATTAAATCATTGATTTTTTTTTAAAAAAACTCATTAAATCATTAGAACCAATCACTTCAAGATCTGGGAGCGAAGCAAGGAGAAAAATGGGACATAGTGTATAGTCCTCTTACAATCTTCCAAACTATTGGGTATTTTTGAGCTGAAATTTGGTATGTATCATCCTCTTTCAATACCCTTTAAACTCATTAAATCATTAAAACCAGTCCAGTGTTTCAAAAAGCGCTAGGCGGCGCCTGGCTGTGGGGGTCCAGGCCACCTAGTGCCTAGGCGGGCGCCTAGAACCTGGGCGGCCAAGTAGAAAGAAAAATGCTAGAATTTTGATATTCTAACCATAAATTAGGAGAATTTTGATATTCTGACCACAAATATTAGAATTTTGATATTCTATCCATAATCCATATTTGATATTTTCATGAATGAAGAGAATTTGATAGTCTATAATCCATATTCATACAATGCTAAAAGCATACCAGCATACACTGATACACACAAAAGTTAGATAGTAGAAACCAGAAACTAAAAATAAGAAAAAAAAAATATACAAAAATTC